CGCTTTCCCCTTCACCTGGTGGCCGCACTGCCGACCGTGGCACGTGCCCGGCCTCGCGGTCAGGTGCTGTCCGCCCTGCCGGCCCCAGCGCGGTGGTTCCCCGCCAGCCCAGTGTCAAGGCCGGCTGTTCGAAACGGCTCTGCTCCGTTTGCGCGAGCCTGCGCCGTGTCACTGCTTTCATGCGTGCAGAAAGTTTTGCTCTGGTTCATTGCTCGTGCTACGCGGGCGTAAAGGCAGAGTGATCTGCAGGGTCTCAGCCCTGCTTCAGCCAGCCCAGTGTCAAGGCCGGCTGTTCGAAACGGCTCTGCTCCGTTTGCGCGAGCCTGCGCCGTGTCACTGCTTTCATGCGTGCAGAAAGTTTTGCTCTGGTTCATTGCTCGTGCTACGCGGGCGTAAAGGCAGAGTGATCTGCAGGGTCTCAGCCCTGCTTCAACATCTGCTCAGGATTTGACTACAAACATACGTAGCTCTGTTTGAGAGGTCTCGGTCAGCAAGAACTGGCACTGAAGCGAGGTTTTCCCTGTTACGTGAGCCAGAACAGCGCTGCTGTGCCTGACATGGGATGAGGTTTGGAACCACCTCTGCCTATGGAATTAAAATAGCATTTGTCCCTACAAACAGAACATCCAGTTTATGCGGAAGACAGCTTAATGGACATTAAGCAAGAGGAGGAGTTGTGCGCTGCAGGTCTGGAGGAGGTGGAGGCTAGAGAAGGTCCTGAAGAGCCCTGCCTAGGTGAGTAGCTGCCTGCCTCGGAGGGGAGACAAAGGGATTATGTTCCAAGTGGTTCACCTCTCCTCATGTATTCCACATTTTTTATAAAACCTCACAAGTTTTAAACAGACTTGCCACCGATAAGTGGCTGGTATTTCATCTTTGCCTTCTCACAGCCATTTTTGAGTTTGTGGAATATGTGGCTGCTTTTCTTTTAAGCAGCCCAGTGTGGGGTAGGAAACGTTTCATTCCCCCTTAAACTCCTTACTTTGCATCCCTCGAGTTGACAGCTGTAAGCTGGTCAGATACCTAGTGCAAAGGGGGCCGTTACTCACTTCTTGGGGCCAACAGGTTAATTTGGAGGAGGAAAAATCAGTGACAGAATGAGGTATGTGGTTGGTGCAGTCCACTGCACCAGTCTCTCTTGGGAGAAGCAGCACTGCATGTGCATATTCTGGCTGCAGAGGAACTGGACCGGCCGTGGCAGGTCCTTTGCTCCTCTGCTCCACGTTCCCTGTGGTCTTCTGATGGATTCGGCAAGGTTACAGTGCCTGTTCTCCTGCATATCCAGCATTTTCAGGCTGCCTTCCTCCTTCACCTTTCCTCCATGGTTTTTCTGACATGGATGAGTGTCCTGACATCCGGGTAGTGCTGTTCCTGTAACAGATAGTAGCTGGTGAGACTGCTCAGCCCAGAGACTTGTTTCTTGCCTTCTCATTCTGGTGGTGCCTCCTTGCGTCTCAAAAACCTGTGCTGCTTCGGAGCTCGACTGTCCTCGCCCTGTACAAAGGGTAGCAGCTCTAACTGCTGGCTCCGTGTTGGCTGATTTTCCTTGGCCTCTAGTGCGTAATGTAATCTGGGATTTTTAGACCTTTCCATCAGGTTTCATTAAGAAGCTGGGTTTATGGGAGCTTGTGTAAAATAGAGAGCTGGCACGCAGACAAGGGGGCAGCATGCCTCACAGCTGTGAAACTTTGACCTTAAGCACTTCTGATACGCTTGTCATGAATTTTCTCCTCCAGCAGAGCAAGCATTTTATGAGCCTGACGCTTCAACTCGGACCAAGAGAGGCAAAGAGGTTCGTGTCAGAGAGCTGCCAGATGCCGAGGGCGAGGACCTCCTTGGAGACCCTTACGCAGGTGAGGATTCCATGGAAGATCTCCCGCTGTAGGAATTCTCTCTCAGGCGGCTCTCAGTGGCTGTGCCTTCCCCGAGGCTTTGTCAGCACTTTTCTTATCCTTGTGAATCTCCAAATCTTCCATGCTTTGCATCTTTCTCCTGTGTCTCTCTGTTGTATAAATTCTTCCCAATGAACAGGGTTTCAGGCTTGTGCAACTGATGTTTTATCTTGGATTAAACAAGAGGAGGAGCCATACCTCCATGAACGACAAGACTTGGAGAAAGAAGAAATCTCTACAGATCCCAGTACAGGTCAGTAATGGATTTGAGCTGAGATTTCCAGGGACAGTAGATCTTTAGAGCATTTCTCATATAATATTAAACACCACGGCCATACAATGTAAGCCATTAACGAACTGGTACAAACCTCAGTCTACTAGCTTTTATTTGTTCACAGAATTTTCAGGTTCTGTCAGCTGAAGAGTCACCTTCTTCCCTCAGGTGGCCTAAGACCGTTATAAACATAGTCTTGGCTTTCTGTTTAGGAAGCGCAGCTGTGTGCTCAGGCCTTACAGGATCAAGTTTATTCTTCCAACTGGCTTGATATTGCCTAGACCTGGAACCAATGAACGTGGAGCCCTGACTTCATGCTCCAAAGCAGGAGAGCTATCTTGGCGCAAAAGAAAAGGCAGCTTTAACGCAAAGCAATTTTAGGACGTGCTGATTGGACATGGCCATGCTAACTTTCATTCAGAGGCAGTTTTTTGTACAGAGCACACTTGGAATATGGATCATGCTTGAGATGTAGCTAATATGAGAGATTCATCTTTGGATAAAGACTTAACCTCAGAGATCGGGTGTGTAGATTTGGATAGGGACATTAAATACAATCTCTTGGGCCACAGCCCAGGACAATCTAGCATAGCTCTTAAGTGGTTAATTGACAAGGAGGTGCAAAGAAATATTTTGTGTGGAGATCTGTTGGTGGCCTGGAATTTCTTCACTTCATGTAAATAATGTAGACATTCAGGAACACATGATGAAATTACTATGGAGCAAATCAACGTATAAACTCTCAGCACATCAACTGTGGGAACTGCCCATGTGAACAGTCTTACCCCACAGGAAAAAAGATCATCCAGAACATTCCCCCCCTCGTATAAGGCTCGATCAGCTCTACCTAAATCCTTCCTGAGAGATGCTTGTTCAAACTGCTCTTGTACTTGAGAAGTATAGACTGGAAAGTCTGGAAGAGACAGCCTGAGTTAGCTGGGGAGTCCCATTCTCTGAAGTCTGGAGTTACTGTGGTGAGAAGACACGCACAAACTTTTACTGTAGAACATAAAATGCACCAGCTGTTCTCACTCAAGCTTGTCCTGTGGTAACATGTTTGTGTGCCTATATCCTAATTTACAGCAGGAGAAGTAAGACCACAGAATGTTTAAGCAGTGTAGATAACTTTGGACTCAACTGAGTGGCGCTGCTGAGAGATGCTTGGTCCCTTATGATGCTAAGTGTAGCAGAGTCTTGCTATAGCAGCAGTCAGGTGTTGGAAGGGTCACAGACCCTAGGGAAGAGAAGAATCCTGGTGCGCCAGAGGGCTGGGCTGAAGAGCATTGATGAAAATAATCTCGAAAATGAAACAATGGGTATTTGTCACAGGAAACAATAGTCCCTTACAGAAAGAGGGAATCCGCAGGTCAGGGGAATAGTAAGGAGGGAAAAGTTTGTTTGTTGATTTTTTTTTTTTCTCCCCCCCACCCCGTCCAATGATGATTCTAGAGCTGTGGCTTAGCAGCTAAGATGCCAAGTACCTTTTGGGGTTGGATTATTGGGAGTCTTAAATGTTTTCAGAAGAAAGCAGGAGAGGTGTCTAGGGGAAAGGCAGTCTGGCTTAAAGCTCTTAGCCTGGGCACAGCTGTGCATTGAGCCTGAGCGGCGTGGGAGCCCTGGGGTCCTCATGCCAGGCATTTTTGGGGATCACCTGTGAGGTGGGAGAACCTTCCTCTTTGCTCAGCACTGATCTGAGCTTATCTGAGCAAGGATAGGGCAGGAAAGCATTTACCTTCAGGAGTCCTGCCTGTAGAGTTTACATACAAGAAGGGGTGCGCTTGCACTGTCTCACTTGGCTAGCTTAGGTGTGTTAGCCTGGACCTTTGCTCCTCGAGATACTTGGTGGAGTCTCCAAAGAACAACTAAGAGCACTGAGGTGTGACGCTGTTGACTACCTGGGCCTCAAACTCAGAGTATCTAAATGAGAGGGTGACGATGAGACATTGTGACTCTTTCTCCTGAAGACTGGTTTTCAGAGGCTTGAAGTATCCACAGTGCTTTTAGACAGAGGTGTGAAGCACCTTTGATAGAGATTGAAACTTTTGTATCCAGTCACTAAAGAATGATATTTGTTATCGAAGTGAATATACGTAAAGTGCAAAGCAAACTTGATACTGCATCAGTCACTTTTAGTGATACTCTAAAAATATTTGATACTGTGTCAGTGATTTCAAAATCAATTGCAAAGAGGCCTTTTTTTTTTTTTCTCCCCTGGAGATTTGTTTCAGTGGGGTGCTGGTACTTGCCCTCCCCCTCAGTATTAAAGCCTGCCTTCTTATTTACTTTGCCTGTCTGTCCGTTGGTGCAACATGGCCATAGACTTGGAGGGGTAACTTCTGTGATACTCTTAAGAGGCTTTCTAAATTAAAAGACTGTAACATCTGTCTGTTTTAGTGAATGATGAAAACACAAAGAGTAATCCTCGGGCAGATTGTTTTGAAAGCGCCGTGTGTGACTCTGATGTACTGGGAACACCTGGAGAGAAGGTTTCCGAGGCTCCCAGTCCTGGAGTGACATGGGACAGTCAGTGGAATTCAGAAATGATGGAAGCAGCCACTACCGAGAACAACGCTGGGGATTACACTCGCAATGACCAACGGTTCGGTGAGGACTTAGATTTCTTTAGCACTCAGGAAAACAGTGTCGGAGAGAGACCACACGCATACAACAGAGGTGAGAGGAACTCTAGCCGGCAGGGGCACCTTCAGACTCCGCAGGGAGCCCAAGAAGGGGAGATGTTTCCAGGCCCTACGTCTGAGAACAGTCTCAAGGACAGGGTGTTTCATACGCTGCGCTCACACCCGTGCGCTCCAAGTGAGAAACGCGTCCGGCAAAGGGCTGCTCCTGACTGCCGAGAGGGGCTGCCCCCAGGGCAGCAGCGAGTGGCCTGCACCGAGTACGGACAAAACCCCAAAGGCACAACCAGGCTTAGTGACCACAGTGGCCTTTGTGGAGGGGATCGGCCGTCTGCGTGCGCAGAAAGTGGGGAGAACTTCCCCGCAGAAAACTCATTAACCAGCCCCTGCCGGGATCACCCAGGGGACAAGTCGGACGCGTGTGCCATGTGTGGGCAACACTACCCACCCAAGGGCAGCTTAGCAAGCCAGCAGCAGAGCCAGGGGAAAGGGAAGTCCTACATATGCAGTGACTGTGGGAAAAGCTTCACTTGCCATTCGTGGCTTGTTAGACATCAGATGACTCACACAGGAGAGAGGCCATACAAGTGCTCTGAGTGTGACAAAAGCTACAGGAGAAAGGATTATCTTCTAAAGCACCAGCGCCAGCATTCAGGAGAAAGGCTGTTCCAGTGCCATCTGTGCAAGAAAAGGTTTGTGCTCAGGAAGAGTTTCATGAAGCATCAGGAAAGTCACACGCAAGAAACACAGGTAACTTTAGCCAACTGGCACGGCACAGACATCAGGGGATCTGTAATGCCCTCCATGTAGCAAAGCCTGTCCAGCAGTGGGTTTCACAGGCTGTTTGGATATCACCCATGCTGGGCGGGAAGGCAGGGTTGCAGCAGGATCGCCCAATTCTGGGCTGCACTGTGGGCAGGAGGAGGGTGTTGAACCGCCTTTCCGACCCCCCTCCGAGGGAAGGGAAGAACACTGGGTATTTGTCTTTGCAGGCTGCCTAGAAGTGATCTGTGGAGCTGTTCTGCAGCTTCCGCTGGTGACTGTTTCTGTCGCTGTGTGGGACATATTGGAGCTGTAGAGGAAACCTGCAGTCCTCAGAAATAGTGCCAGCAGTGAATCTGCTCAAGGGAGAAATCAGATCAATATATGAAATAACTGGGAAAGCTTCAGGCTGGAGAATATCTGAAATGTTTCCCCTAGGCTTCTTGGAGTCCAGAGTCCAGAGCAGAGAGCAGACCCCTTGCTCTAAAAACAAATGAGTTAAAGTTACTAATTATCCACTGAACAAGTAAAGCAGTGCCAGGAAACACCCATTAGTGCAGAATGCTTAGGAAAAGGAAGTGTTAACCCTGTGGTTGGAAGAGCCACCTGTACCATTTAAGAGAAGCCTCTAGAGGAAGTAGCAAGTGGATAGCGTGGAGCAGAGTTTGAGAGGGAGTTTGTGCCTACAGGTAAACCATGGGAGCTCTGGGGGTCTTTTTTCCTCAGCCAGAGAGAGGCAGAGAGGATCCTGAGGGTGGGGGACTGACCTGTGTAATGTGTTGTAAAATGACCAGAAAGCCTAGGATATGGTTTTTACTTTGCATAGCCATAAACTGTGTTTTGTTGCACTTACTTTAGCATGTCATTACAGATCTGGTGTGTATATTTTTATGTACAGTTTTCTGTATCAAATGAAAATAAATGCTTCCTAAATGCTTTCTCCTTCAGAAACTGTATTTTTACTCATATTTAATGTTTCTTAAGGGGGACAGAGCTGGTGAGAGGCTGGCATGCTGTGACATTGCAAGGATACAATGCATTCCTTTTAGCAATGAAAAATTCGGGATGTAATATCTGCAGCCTTGTTGTCAATGGCATTGAGCCTTGTGAAAAAGTATGGAAGCAGCAGCAGTGCCTGAGCTGGGCAAGAACCAGCACATTTTGGTTCAGGGCTCATTTAATCTCAGGCAGTTGTGATCAGCTACATTAAGCAGCCATTTTACTTGCATATTTCTGCTTAAGTTTTGTTAGGATGCTTCTTTTATGGCTGGAAATTCCTCTTTTTGTAATGACAATTGTTAGGGATATGCTATGAGCTTGGAAGTGAGTCATTCACAGAATTGCAGAACGGTTGAGGTTGGCAGGGACCTCTGGAGATCATCTAGTCTGACCTCCCTGCTCCAGTAGCGTCCTCTAGAGCACATTGCCCAGGACCGCGTCCAGGCGGGTTTTGAAGATCTCCAGCGAAGGAGACTCCACCACCTCTCTGGGCAACCTGGGCCAGGGCTCGGTCACCCTCACAGTAAAGAAAATTTTCCTCATGTTCAGACAGAACTGCCTGTGCTTCAGTTTGTGCCCGTTGCCTCTCGTCCTGTCGCTGGGCACCACGGAGAAGAGACTGGCCTCATCCTCTCGACAACCCCCCTTCAGATACTTGTACACATTGATGAGATCTCCCCCTCGGTCTTCTCTTCTCCAGGCTGAACAGGCCCAGCTCTCGCAGCCTTTCCTTGTATGAGAGATGCTCCAGTCCCTTTATCACTTCCCTCCACCTGCTGGCAACACTCTGCCTCATGCACCCCAGGATCCCATTGGCCTTCTTGGCCCCAAGGACACATTGTTGGCTCATGGTCAACT